GGTCGTGGATAGCCCAACTGGGCGATCTCTCGTTTACAAAGAAAGTTCTTTCGGCGTCCGCTTCCAGCATCTTTTAAATTTTGGACGTGTGGAGAACATCGAAAAACATTTGACGTGTATCTTTTTTATATTGTCCCGTTTTCATATCTAGAAGATGAAACCACCCATCAAAGTTCATGAGAAGAGGTAGGTATAAATATACCTGCATTTTGCCTTTTAAAACGATTTTTTATGAAACTCGGTATACAGAGATGTTGGAGGGCGTTGATTCTAAATTTGAACTAAAAATTACTAAATTCAACGTGCCGGATCCTACGTGACCGAACAAAATGTGAAGAGTGAGTCGATTTAAATGATTGCGAATCCGAATTGAAAATCAGGAATTAAAAACGGCGGATTTAATACAGGGTTTTCAAATGGTGTTTCGATGACCAATGATCCATGATTGCAATTCGTCGAAACACTTTTCCCAAAGGTCAATTACGGTATTAACTTTGATCATTTGCCTAGCCATGTTTTTACCCATCTTTTAAAATTTTAACGAATTATTTATCTCGTTCGTCTAGGCTCTAGAATCTAGGAGCTGTTTTGGATAACACAAATATACAAAAGTATATCAAGCATAAACTGCGATCATTAACTTATTGTTAGCTCTACTTACGTTCATATTCTGCACTTCTATCAAACTGTGTTTCGATCCTCCGAGCCCTAAAATCTATAGTAGGAGCTAATCTGAAGATTTTCAAGGCTTGATCTAATCCGTGCGAAACGATCAGGTATCAAGTAAAATATATTATTATTTATATCATTATTTTTCATTATTGCAGGCGACCGAAAATATACAATCGAAAGAATTCTAAATAAAGCTTGCAAATACTATTACCAAAGTGAAATACTACCAGTATTGACTATAAAACCTTTAGATACACTATCGGCTACTAAGGAGCTATGCTAGTTTAGCGGGCGAAAACTGAGGCAATCTTTGGAATTTTGTTGTGTGAATAACTATGCTACCGATTGTTTTAAAACGCTGTGTATCTATTAATTAATGTTGAAACAATTTTCAATATCCGATCGAAGTAAAGATATAATATTTCACAATCACTACGAATATTAATGCTTGAACCAAGCGGCAATTGCTAAAAAACTTTTATAATTATTAATAATTAAATTTCAAGATAAGATAGTTATAAAACTCGAACATTTAAGTTGACTTGATAAAATCTCTTATGTTCTAAAATGCGATCTTTACCGAAGGCTGATTATTAGCTGTCGTGTACTACTCGAGTGTAATGTATTCATGAAAGTGAAAGCGAACGAGCCGAACGAAGCGACAAGGTATCGCTTTGTGTTAAGTCGATCAGGGATTTTAAACGATCAAGTATCATCCATGAATTACATTACAAGGCGCTATGTCATCATTTGTTTACATTTTATACATAATGCGCGCTATATGCATTCTAGAGAAAAGGTGAAATAAATAGAAAAACCGAAACAATTTTACCATAAAAATAGTAACAATAATAATAAAAATAACGGTGCTTTAAGCCTTTTTCACATATTTTTATTCGGTAACAAATTCAGCGGTTAGATCTTTGAAATTAAAGAACGTCTGCATACCACATTGTAAAATGATGAGGTTTCGAAAAATGTCTAATGGTTAACGACGATTAAATCTGAACGAATTAACGTGTTCGATGAATCGAGTATTATCTTCCTCCATGGACAATTGCGAATGAAGAATACCGCATTAAAAAATAATACAATCCATTGGGAGAAGTTAAACAGGAGATCTATAAGTATGGCGGTATTTTGTATTTTTATTATCAAATAACAGTGTCTGATAGTACAACCTATAGAACCAACTACACGTTTCTTTCGTGAAATATTCTTCAGCGTTTTGGTGTATCGTTTTTTCGGTAGAATCTATTTCTTGCCGAAGATACATAGTTACAGTTTTCTAAGAGAATGTTGAGTGGACGAGGAACATTTTCGCCACGTTTCGCTCACTATATTTTGCGATCCGGTGTATCAAACCGAATTTGGAAACGAACAAACTCACGCAAACGGTGTACGATTTCGGCGTGAGATTAGCGAGCAAACAAATTTCGAAAAAGAGACAAAAACGAAAAGATCAGCTGAAGGTTTCAGAAAAGTGTCTCCATTCTTGCGACGTGTTGCTCAATTTTCAGAAACTCTTGTGGACAATCGTAACTGTTTGCGACTAGGAACTGGCCTTTAATAACTAACCCGTTATTAAACAAACAAAACCGAAAGGATAGGCTAGGTTTCGACTATTCCGGTTGTCGAAGTTGTACCCTGCCAAGAATAAAGGATGGGTTATCAGAGATGACGATCGATAAAATATTTAAAACAGATACCAAACCAGATATGGAAGCACTTGCCTTAACCCTCACCCTCTCCCAAAATAAAAACAAAAACAGGATGCCGTCGATGTGGACAAATCCAACCAGGCTGGGAGAATAAAACTGTGAGCTAACGTGCATGCTAGTCGTTTACTGCTATGTACATACATATATCTGTGTACGTGTGTGCGCGCATGTGTGTGCGCGAATGGGTGTGCGCGCGTGTATCTTACCACCAGTTTCAACTATTAGCTCTGCTAGTTCGAATCGTTTCTGTAGAGACGTAGCTAGCTTCGACGTTGCTTCTTGCATGAACTCTTTACATTGTCTTTCACAGCGTGTACATAAATATATACCGTACAATTCGTTACTTACATTTCAGCCGTTCCTTGCAACATGACTTTTCATTTCAGCAAGATATCGACACCGGCCTTCGTTCTTTAACGCTCCCTGGTCAAGAAACAAAAAACAGGATAAATAACCGCGACCTTTCGCAGCAGCAAGTGTGCACTTCACTTGAACCACACTCCGAAACGGTTCCACGGCTAATCTTTTTGCGACCAATCTCGTAGACTCTCGTAGAAGAGAGAAAGAATAGCTTCCTTAACGATTGGCCCTTTGTCTCGTTCTCGTTCGCGCATTCGAGGGTTCGAAGTTCGGCGACTCCAACGGTCGGCAGAAGTTTGAAACTTTCCAGAAATCTAGTTCAAGTGACGATAATAACGTAACTATTTTTTCGTTTCGATCACGAGAGACGACCCGACGAGTAAAAACGACCCCCGAAACGAAATCCCGAGTTTCCATATTGTTGTGAATATTTGAGACATCGTAATGGTTACCGCATCGGTCACCGCATATGATAACTGAAAAACTAATCGATTGATCTCCTTCAAACTTTCTGTATATCTCCGTAATTTAAATGTCTGGAATATATGCTAAAAAGATATCAGTGTTTAAAGAAGTTTAAAAAAAAAAAAAATTAAAAGAATTTTTCTCTATAAAAAAAGAAAGTCACGAAAAACACTCATCATTCGGTTTTCCAACGTGGTTTAATTATCGAAGTTTATCTGGTAATGATATGCCAGTGGCAAATATGGATTTTAGAAATAACAATATGGTGTGCTTGGGTAATACTCGCGAAAACGAATCACAGCAAAGTGAAAGTAGCCGATTAATTTGTCTTATATTAATCGCATTCATATTTTTAAGTAGTTGTGGAGCGTTAAAGAACTGAACGAGGTATCTTATTACATTTAAAATGCTATTATTATCCGTTCAACGTAACGATGAAGATACAGAACAACGCGATTGCGGCAAATATAATGTATACAAATTACTATTTCTGCATACAGTGTATCCCAAGGACTGCGATCTTTTGAGTATCTTCGTTATTTCAAACAATCCGAGACAATGGTCGATACAACAGTTGAAAGGTCCACTTTTGTCACTTTTACTACTTTTTTTTTTTATACAAAATACGCCATTCTATCGAAATCGACCATAAAAAGTTGATCATACTATTTAAAAAAAAAAAATTCGACTCTACTCTTTTACACTTATACTTGTAGGAAAACCATTAATTTCAAATTATATGTTTGTTCAAACCATACAACTTTTGCACGACACATTTTCGCGTATTATTCGAAATAACTTAGCTATTCAGCTGTCGAATTCGTGGGATACAGTGTATAAATTGTAATATTATTCGTTACTATCAAGTAGTATAACTTTTGTGAAGTACATTATATCCCTCGTGTATTAAAACGTTTTAGAAGAAATTCAGAATAGTCATGAAAAAATATGTACAATTTATATATTTATATCGCTTCAAGTTTACATTCATAAATTTATCGAAAAGACATTTACCGATGAAGACTTATGATAAGGTTAAAAGTGTTATAACGATTAGAAATAAACGGTCGGTGACTAGAAACACGAGTTGTCTCCTTTTTCGACCATTTCTCAACCGATCGATGAAATTTCTATGATATAACGATCCGCTGTTAAATTTTTTCATCTTTAACTTGAACGGATGATGTAATAGGATATGTCAGAATTGAATAGGTAGGATAGCCGAGACATGATTACAGAATTGCTAAAAGGTTATAGAAGTATATTTCGTTCTTAGCTAACTTTTCTTTTCACCTTCACTTCACAAGTTTTATTTATTCACTTCCGTTATTTGGAAACAGAGCATTAAGAATGCGTAAACGATTTGTTTTGTAGCCCTGTTAATTTATGTCCTTAACGATTTACGTAAATTAAGTTTATAATTAGAAGTGATCGTAGGAATTTTAAGTTGAACGCAAGATAGCATTTCATCGATTAAATTTCTTTCACAATTGTTATAAATCGTTTGATGAAAGTATCACGTTCAATTGTTTATTCATTATTTTTATTCAGAATATAGAACTATTACCACATTCCCGCTGATTCAACTTTCCAACGTTTCATTTAATATTCCTCCAATTGCCCATTTTTTTGCTATACTGACTCAGAAACGAACTCTTACATTCGGTTATTCTCATAGAGATTCCCAATAGTCATTCTGAGTCTAATTAATTTGCTATTCACTTTATAATTATAAAAATTAATTTACTCGACTTAATTATTTCCGTTTCTTTTCATCTGCAGGAATATTCTGTACAATTAACATTCCGGGAACAATGGCTGGATGAACGATTACAGTTTGATGATCTTGATGGTAAATATAACTTGTAATATTCTTCCTACTGGTATTATAAATTTGTGAAATTTATAACATTGATCTTATTTATACTAACATTATAACGTTAAGATATGTTACAATACTGATTACAAAATAATTGTTAATAAATCAAATCAACCGTTATAGTATTTAATCCGTACCCGTTTTTCACGGTTTATTTGGGCCATTTTATGCAGTGCCGTCTTAAAACACGAAATATTTATTATATCATCCGTCTTGATACTTGAGACTTGATATTTTGTTTCACTTAAAATAAAAGTTCACAACACGTATTACTGTCTTAAAATGCGCAATATGCTATGATATTTTATTATACGATTCGTGTGTAACGTTACAGGTCGTCTAAAATATTTAACGTTAACGGATGGGAGTCGTGTTTGGATGCCAGATTTGTTCTTTTCGAACGAGAAAGATGGACATTTTCACAATATTATTATGCCGAATGTATACATTCGTATTTTCCCCGATGGTTCCGTTCTATACAGTATACGGTAAACTATAAAACTTTTCAAAATAAGAATAATATTCGCTCGATTTTAAATAAGAAATTGCAGATCAAGTCTAGTAAATTTGTGTTAAATATTATAATATTCATTCTTTGGATTGTAGGATATCCCTCACGTTATCGTGCCCAATGAACTTGAAATTGTACCCTTTGGATCGACAAATTTGTTCATTGCGTATGGCAAGTTGTAAGTACCAAATGTATAATAATCATTTATAGACTTACTTACAAGGGAACAAAGTTGTCTGTTGTTCTGACTTAAATGGATAAATGGATAAACTTAAATGGATAACTTCATGATATTATCTTTACAGATGGTTGGACAACCAACGATTTGGTTTTCGAGTGGAAAGAAGGTGATCCAGTCCAAGTTGTTAAAAACCTCCACCTACCTCGGTTCACATTGGAGAAATTTCTTACCGATTACTGTAATAGCAAAACAAATACTGGTCGGTAAATCGTTTAATTACCTATTTCTGCGTTTGATCAATCCTCTATAACGAACAAACCAATTCGGTTGCAGGAGAGTACAGCTGTCTGAAGGTGGACTTGCTCTTCAAGAGAGAATTCAGTTACTATCTTATTCAAATCTACATTCCCTGCTGCATGCTCGTCATTGTATCCTGGGTATCATTCTGGCTCGATCAGAGTGCTGTACCAGCTCGAGTATCGTTAGGTAACGTTCAAGTGATTATTCGAAAATCTCCATAGAGCCAGTGTAATTAACAAATTCAAAATAAAACTTCATCTATTTATTTCATTAGTAAATTTTAGGAGAAGAAATAATTAACCACGTGTCTTAATGTAATTCAGTGTGATTGACCAGGTATACAGGGTGTCCCAAAAATGTTAGAGGTCCTTGAAAGGGGTGGTTCGAGGTGATTTGAAATTCGGGTGATTTGAAGCTTGAGGCTTCGTTAAGGAGATATTATTAACAGAAAACCCCGTCTAATCAGAGCACGACCGCCTAGCTCGTAACCTACACTGCTGCGGCCGCTCCACCGGCATACTCGCGTTTTGATTGGTTGGGGTTTTCTGTTAATATCTCCTTAACGAAGCCTCGGACAACATTTTCGCTAAGGAAAAAGTTGTTTCAAATCGCCTCCCGAACCACCTCTTTCAAGGTGTTACAACATTCTTGGGACACCCTGTATACCTACATAGATGCATTTGATTGTAATAATGTAACACGAATGACTTTCTCAAAACAGGCGTGACAACACTGTTGACGATGGCCACGCAGACGTCAGGAATAAATGCCTCACTGCCACCAGTCTCTTATACAAAGGCTATTGATATTTGGACAGGCGTATGCTTGACTTTCGTATTCGGCGCTCTCCTCGAATTCGCCCTAGTAAATTATGCATCGCGGAGCGACATGCACAGTGATAATATAGAGAAAAAGTATCCACCGTCTGAAACGGAACAATCATCAACGATCGATCCATCATCCGATCAAGTCGAGCAAGATAACTCGTCGAATTTCGCTATGGTCAGTATCCCACGATATTACCGCAGCTTAATGTTCATTATCTTTTGGCAGCATTCATCTTTGGTCAGTGATAAAAGCAATGTTTATTCCGTTCGTTTAAATCGTATGCGACGCTCAAACGGGAGAGTAAGAGAAAATCAAGTCTTTTTCAGTCTCGAGCTTGCTTTTCATTTATTTAGTAATTGTTCCAACGCCGTATAACGTATACGCGAGCATTTCATCAACTACAGACGTTATACGCGAAGCACGTTACATATTTCGTCAAATAGTTAGCCAAAATGTATCATTGCAAAAATCTTGAATATGGCTATTATAACGTACATTCATTCTACTATTTTATTTTTATTATTGTAAACTGCTAGACCGGATATGATGGACCACTTCATTCTCTACAGGTAAATAATCCCCTTTAAAATCCAGTTACTTATATTTAATTTACGTATTCGGTAATATGAGTTTCAACATTCGATGACGATAAGAAACAAATTTATAGATTTATTACGTATATATATATATATATATATATATATATATATATATAGTTTAATGGGTAATGAAAGATTAACGCACACATCGATAGTATGTTATTATAACGAGTGCGTTCAATATTATTATTATGTAGCTACCAAGACTCAGTGGTGACTTCGTAGTTCTTTTTTATGAATATTTAAAGAAATAAACATCTGTAGGAACACAACAGTAGAAAATTATGATTATAATCTTGAAGAGTTTCCTGCAAGTAATATAACCGAGTAGAATGTTTATTTCTTTGTAGCTGTCTATAACGAATACACATGGACTCATTAGAATTTCATGCGCTTAAAATGAGTTTCTGATGTTTTCATATACCTAACTTTATCAATTATCGTTGATCAAAGCTGGATGTGCGTGTAGTTAATATAGGCACTACCGACGTATCACATTGCATGATTTCTGTAAGTGTGAAGAAAGCAAATTCATACAAGACATTTTTTTCCATTCGATATTGCTCTTAGAATGTTATCCTAATGTTTACACATTTCCTCTGTAATAAAAGTCACGATATAAATCGCAATGCATTTATGTACGCGAAAGTTCGACAAAAAATCACCAAAAATATGCAATATATTTTAAGCAAAATTGCACCGCAATCAGCTTTACATATTAAATGTACTTTTTCACGATGTACGGTCAATTTTTGTATAGTATGAAAGCTTAAGTGTAGATCTTTTAAATCTCCTCGGTAATCAATTCTTGGACTCGTTTTAATTATTCAAACAATTAAGCAACCAAGTTCAGTCGAAGATTATCCAATAACGCCGCAACGAATAAAGCTCCATAACTTTTTTTTACTAAAGTTGTTTCAAGCTTCAGGATTATGCATGTACATATTTTCAAACGATACAGTGACTCACAGATTATTTTGACTAAAAGTAATGCATCAAGTACATATGTAGAGTAAGGACATTGTCTCAAGCGGTGTGTCTCTCGATTTTGCTTGTTCCTATTTCTTTCGTATCTAACTGAACTTGAGCAAGTGCTCGGCTTGCTCACTTTCTGTATGGCTGCCGGAATAGAACGTACTTACATTGTTTCCATAGCCACGTTTCTCGTATATTTCATACACTGCGTATAGTATAATTTGTCGTATAAATAAATTCTGTTTTAATATTTTTCGAATGGTGTAGCTTGAAAGAATTATTAATGCTATGTGCTGAAATATTTTAGAACTACTATAGTTTCTTTAGGTGCCAAATAAAACACTGATAATTCAATATTGGCGATCGGTAGCCAATGAACCGTGACATGAACACAGGTACCTTAAACCGAACCGAGACACGCGACATATACCAATGACCAAACCTGCTCAGACAGTATTTCCGTATAGATGGTATACACATTACCTGTATGCAATATTGCTCTCACCCCCTCCTCGCCAAACCAAATACATGAAACCCTCTCAGACAGTATTTCCACGTAGACAGTATACATGTGTACATTAACAGCATTCCGTATTATCCGTCCCCTTCCCAAAACTAACCCAAGCCGGAATTAAAATATTTTAATTTCGCGCCGCCTCCGAGAAGGTTGCATTGTATTTAATATGCTGTATTTGATAATTTAATCAAATTCATCAAGATCTGGTGAGTAATAATGCAGTTTCAATACAAATTACTTCATACTTTTCACTGCATTTTCTCATACTTTTAAGCAATTATATCTAGAGCTGGTGAGTATTCGTATAAGTTAGCTAGAAATTATTTCATACTTTCTAGTGCAGTTTTAATATTTTTCGAAGTCGATTATATTTTTTTTCCAAAAATTAATTTATACGTATTCATTTTCGACATCGGAATTTTCGAGTGTGACCAAGGAGAGCGGTTCGCACCGCCGAATCTTACGTTACTTTAAAACGATGATAGCATTTTTTCTTTCTAAAAGTATAATAACGAGGCATGGGCGTATTTTGAAAAAAATGAGGTCGCATCATTTTGAAATGGCTGATTTTTGTTGTAGCGGTTAATAACACGTTAGTGAATAACAAAAAAAATATTACCAGACGTTGTGCGCGGAACATAAAGGATGCCAGACGCGCACGAAGTTGCATTTTTTTTCTTGCCTACAAAGAAGAGAAATACATAGAAGGTGTTTTCACCACGAAGAAACGAATTGTGGCCGATGACAAACATGGTTAAAAATTTTGTTTTAGGTCTCCAACAAACGTGCAAAGTTTAAAAAAAGTCGGAATTTTCGAGTTACCAAACTTTCCTTGTGAAATATTTTTGTACGTTTTTTAAAGGCCACTTGAGAATTGAAGTTGCGAAACAAAAATACTTTGAATATTTTCGACCTTACGAATAAAGCAAAAGATTGGTTGGAAAGACTTTCCTGCGCGATTCAAACGAAACGGTAAAAGCTCGTATTTGGAAAGTAAACTAAATAGGATAAATTTGTGACTCGCTGTATTTTATTGGGTTGGTGCATAATTATCCGCCATTGCTTTTTTTAATTTTATTATGAAAAAGAAACATAAAAATTCAACAGAAACATATTTAACTGTTTATTCTGGAGCGTATTCGCCATATGCTTCGATTACTGCTTCCCATCGAACGTCTACACGCAGTAATCGACACGAAAAGATCGCGCAAAAAAAACCATATTGTCTTTCACCGCGATGCACGTCCGCGTGTTGAGCATCGTGTCGTGGAATCCATCGCCAACAAGAGATGGGATCTGTTCCCACGTACGCCACATTCACCGACCGAAGCTCCCACGTCCATCGCTCGCTAAAAACTACGAGGCGAATAAAATTTACGACTATTTGGATGACTTGGTGACCGATGTCAGAGCATGGATTGCCTCTAAGAACAACAACTTCTTTGCCCGTGGAATCGATCGTCTGCCAAGCAAATGGGAATCAGTAATTGAAGTAGATGGCGAATACACTCCAGAATAAACAATGAAATATGTTTCTGTTGAATCTTCATGTTCGACCCAATAGTTTGAACAAACTAAACTCCCCGAGTCGTTTTTGAAAAAGTGATCAATTTGGCGTGAAACGATCCGCAGATAATTTTGTTTACGCAAGCATACTCGGAGACGAGAACTACATTGCCACAGAATCAAGTCTGTGAGTCACTGTGTGGTAATTTTAAGAACGGTTTGCTTTCTTTTCTCCGTTTATACGAAGCAATGAAAGGGCATCCGTAGAAAGGTACGATCGCGCGTCTAACGGATCACTATCGTAATCATTTTTTCAGAAACCTCTGGTCCGACAGCCGGAGGATACCATGTCGGTGGATAGAATGCAGCACTGCGAATTACATATGCAACCACGAAAAAAAAACTGCTGCAGGTCGTGGCTGTCCAAGTTCCCAACGAGGTCCAAGCGCATCGACGTCATCTCACGGATCTTCTTCCCAATCGTATTCGCGTTCTTCAACCTCGCGTACTGGTCCACGTACCTGTTTCGGAAGGAAGAGGAAAACGAGTAAATGTCGACGAGGAAGCGCTCGGATCAAGGAACGTGGCACGCGGCCATCCCCATCAATATCACACCAAATCGCATCGTTCGCGTCCTCTTCAGCAACACTATCGTTATAGGCATCGTCATCACTATCACCAACACAACGATCTAGTTGCGATGCAGCCGCAACATCGACCGTTGCCATCGCAGTGCCATCAACATCAGCATCAGCATCAGCATCAGCATCAGCGGCACCACGCGCATCGAAGCCAGCCACGATCGGCGTCCTTTTCGTCTTTGCACAACGAAGGAAGCGGTAGATGTTCGCCGAGAAGCGCACGCCACTCCCGTAGAAGTTCTGCGAGATCATCACCGTCGCCGTCGCCGTCACCCTCGCCATCGCCCTCGCCTACAACGTCGCGTAGAGTGACACCCTCGCCACCCGCGTCCAACGTGCGAACGATCCCCCTTCAAGACTTACGCCATTTTCAACGATTGCCGTCATTCTCACGTTCCGAGAGGTGCTGTTGGGGTCTTCTACCTCGCAGATGGTTCACCTGTCGGGCGAAGGGTAGCGCGAGAATCGATTTCATCTCACGGATCGCTTTCCCTCTCACGTTTATCATGTTCAATCTCGGCTACTGGTCCACCTACCTTTTCCAAGGTGAGGAAAACGTCGGCTTGAATAAATAGACGATCGCTTCGGTAAACGTGACCGAGTCCCATGGATTCGGGTACCGACAGGGAAACGCCCGATTGAAATCGCTTCCATTCGAATCTAACTTCGAGGTCTTGTCGCTCGTATCGAACGAACTTTGTTTCTTGTGTCTTCTGTCCGTTATTTTCAAAGGGATTGTATAAATAGAGGTAGAGACACTCTAATCAAAGTCACGAAGTAACGTTGCCCGATCCTGATTGGTCGTCGCCGAGTGATCGTACGCAAACTTAGACAGAAACAGAGATACTCTTGCGATGTCTTTTCTCATTCTTACCATCTCACATTTACACTTACAGAGTCTCCTATGACATCTTTACCCAATTTGTATAATCTCTTTGCTTATTTTTCCACGACACGTTTAAAGACCAGTGGCGTAGATCTACCATCGTCGAGGCTGAAAATGAAATGAAATTTCGGTGGTCCCATACAGCGGTACATCTCTTTCTTTTCTTTTTCCTCGTCGGAGAAACCGTTGGAAAAACATCCCCGACTTCGTGAGGAAGGCCGAGGGCAGTCCATTAATTACGTATAAAATTTCAAATGCCGATATACAGCTGTTGTACACGATTACCAAAGAAACATTTCGTCGTGCATCAACTAGATACAGTAAAGTACTTATCAGATTAAATTAGCATACATGATGAATTTAAACATTTTAAATTAATTCTTTATGTCAGCAAATGATCTCGTTAGGTCAGCGTTGGAACTTACTACGGTAGAATCAATGTTATGTGAACATGATGTTGCACAAACCATACATTTTCTAATAGAACACTGTATATAAATAAACGTACAAGTGTTTACATATTTCCTTCTATAGGATGAAATCTATTTGCAATCGTTCAATTAACGTAGTAGTACGAAATACTTGTACGTAAACTATGCGACGAGATCTATAACGGCACCCGATAAAAAAAGTCATCTGCCCAAGAATGTCGACGAATATTAATACTCGTATATTTACTAGGCAGATGTCGCATTAATAAATATTGTTTATTAAAGAAAATAATATTGTAAACTACTTATAGTAGCAAACAATATTTAATTCTGATGTGCATCGTTAAAAAGTAACTGAAAACATACATATCTACCTAATTTACCTCCTAAAAATATAATTAACAATTTTGCTGGGACAGCATCGCGTCCGATCTTTGGTAACCGAACCTAGGTTTAAATTTTTCAATTTCAGTCGATTTGAAGTAATTTAAAAACACGTAATCATGGTATAAAATTGAAAGGAATGCGAAAGAGATATACCCGGAACGGCAGGTGCTAATTAAATTGAGCAAATACATCGTTAAAGGAATAACCATACCGGAGTCCTCGATGGGTCTTTCGCAGTAGTCAGAAGGTTAAATTAATAATACGGTTATCGAATTGTGAAACTTGAGTTTGGGATCCCCTTTGGTCAAGATCCGATGGAAATGGCGCCACTGTCGATAACGATGAAAAGAATGCGGAAGATCATGTCTTGTAACCGCGGTGTCGTGTATTACGATCGATACAAGAAACATGGTCCGTATAAACCCTGCACATCTATGTAACAACAGTAACGTGCATTTCGACGAAAGACTTTTCAATAATCTGTGTCCGAAGTTCGAATATCGTAAAGATCGAAAAAGCGCAATGAAATGACAACATTTTGTATGGCCGGAAATAGTTGACATATATATTACGGTGGTCCTTATTTCAATGATTTTTTAAATCTCTGTTACGGACTCGTTAAATACCTTGCAAATATATATATAAAAAAAATGTTTGGAAAATCAAAGCTCTCAAGTTTAACATTAACACGTGCTTCAACCCTCCGAAAGATTTAAATGGAGAATACATGAGATTACCTTCTTTTTTTATAACTCCGGTAAAAATTGATGATATGAAATTGATGAAAAATGTAATATTGTAATGTTATTTTAAATATTTTGATTATTTTTTAAATCGGTGCTGTAAAACGAATTTGATTAATATTATATAAATTGTTTAATTTAAAATGATTTCTCACTTTTTTTGTTTAATAACAATTTGAAGAATTTTGGATGTGTCAAATTTTTGAATTACGTATGAAAGAATATTTGTTAGTGGAACTTTTATAAGAAATCATAGATAAGTGCATATTTAAAACATTTAAAGTAATATTACAAAAATATTTCAAGTAGAGAAAATATGTAGTTCCATATTTACAGAACTGGAATACACGGAAATAATTAATATAAATAATTGAAATTTTTAGGGCTTGTTTTTATTATTATAAGTAATAACTCTGCCAAATCTCAAATCATTAATGTTAAAATTGACAGCTCAAATTTTGCCAGAAGTTTTTTTTTGTATATATTTACAAGGTATTTAGTGGGTGCGTTACATAGATTTCAAAAATCATTGAAATAAGGAACATCCTAATATATTCCTCAACTATATCAGGTAAAAACTAATATAAAATGAACAAAAATGGCGATGAAAATGGTATAAGGAATCGACTCTTAGCGAGCGAGCACGTAACATATTACATACACACACATTCATATACACCTGTAACATAATCGGAAGACCGCGCGCCACAGGATGAAAATCAATGTAGTGGGCCCTGTATAGCCACGGCCTGTTAACGAACTACATCCGAATAAATTTATAAATATTATACGTAATATAATTGACAAGTAAATCGTTAATGCAACAATGATTCCTGTGTATAAAAAAAGTCCTCAGTCTACAGTAACAGTAAGTCAACGTTAAAACACTTTTTCCACTTAAAGGATCAACATTGATTTGAAGTGAAATGAACAAAAAAAGAGTAAAAAAAAGAAGAAGAAAAAAAACAGAAACGAAATCAAACGAAAATTGTAAACGACGATCTCGAGTGTACACAATTAACCGATATTGCGATACCAATTATCACGAATGGTACACGTAGGGAATAATTTGCGATCGAGCAGTAGTAGGTACCACGCGAAACAGTAAAATTTGTTGTACTCTATCCCCTGGACTTTTCGTGATCTCGGTTTGAGCCGGGATCTCTCGTATTGCTCATCGATCGGTCGAGACTGAGGATATCGTTCAATGTGAAGTATATAAGTTGGAAGAAATAAAAAAAAAAAAAAAAAAAAAAAAATAAGAAACGGATCTAACGAAAGCGATTCACCGACACGGAGCATAGAACTTTATTTCCGCGCAAGTGTATCGCGAGCGTTGTCAATACCCTTGAAAGAAACCAAAAAAAAGTAAACAGAAAAAAAATTAAAAAAAAAAAAAAAGAGTATGTTGCAAATTACGAAGGAGCAAACAAAGTATGAGGAAGAAGCGAAGGAAATAGTTTTAGTTTATCCATGCGTGCTTTGTTTAATCGTTGTCATATCGATTGCCGAGTCCCGACGATTCGACAAACGAGATTCTCTGTCGAGCGTACTTCTTTTTACAGCGGATTCGACGAGGATCCATTTTACTCCTTTTTTTCCCGTCTTTCGCGCGAACGAAATTTCTATCGAACGTTAGCGAGCACAAATAGATTTTATTTGACGAAGGATTGTAGAACGAGTTCCCGAATCCTTCGACGTTCCGTGTTTCATCTTTTGTCGTTAAACCGCTACCGATTCGTTACCAGTTCGATTTATAGAAGCTTAGATCGAAGGGACGAGAGAACAACACGAGGCGGAAGAAAAATATCAAGCGTGTAATAGTGCAACTATTGCGTGAAAATGTTGTGCTAATTTTACCATCATTTTTACGCTGTATACGCACGCCTTTGATTTTGCTCATTCTCAGATTCGTTCGTATAGCACAGGCATGTCCAAACTTTAGTTCCGGAGCTTAGGTACCTCCCCCCACTCTGTCACGTTACCATAATACCACACGCCAGCTAAAGATGGGCAACATTTTATTCGAATAGTAATAATAATAATATTAATATTAATATTAATAATAATAACAATAATAATAATGGTAATGGTAATAATAATAATCATAATTATAATAATAATAATAATAATAATAATAAGACTTTATTGTACCAAGATTGTATACATTAAGAAATTTAGTATGGAGTGAAGAGAATGAAAATTAATGAATAGAAATAAAAATAAGTATACGTTCGGGAAAAAGGCAAGGTGCAATTAGATTAATCTAACCTTGATAGATAACCCAAAAAACCAACGTATAGCAATAAATTCGTGACATTTATTCGATCGGACAATTTTCAACGGTTTACATTCTTGTTTATACATTGTGAAATATTTCATTCCATATTTGATATTCTAATTTTTATTCGACGAGTAACGGATAAACGGTTGTTTATCTATTGTTTGTTATTCGAAATTTTTATCTAGATAAGAATTTTATCCATCTCCGATGTCGCGATGTAGGATGAGCGCCAAATTCCAAGGTCTCCAAACAAAATTAGGGTACCGTCATTTATTTTTTCCAGAGATGGCCAAAATTTCATTGAAATAATAGATCACGAATAAAAACATTGTACGGACATTTATTCGTGGTAAATAAAAAAATAAAAATTTATCCGATCGAACCGTTTCTCGGATAAATGTTTATCCCTTCGATACGAGATATAATTTCGCTCTGTAATTAAAATTTTCATTTTCATTCAACCAGTAACGAATTAAAGATGGTTTATCTTTTATTCGCCATCAGAAGTTTTTATCTAGATGAGAATTTTGTCTGTTTCTGATTTTACCGAGCAAAATGTTCAACGGATTATTAAACGAAATTTGATTCGAATAGTAGAACATAAATAAAAACTGTGTAACGCTTTATTTACAATTTTTATTCGATCGAACAGTTATTCGGATAACTATTATTTGTTCAACGCAGGGCCGTGCATAGATATTTCGAAACCCAGGACGACAATGAAACGTTCTTCTCGCAGTAAATACGTAAATATGCATTGTTTACATTATCTGGAATTTTCGAATAAAAAATCGAATTACGTGTAACCATTTTTTGCGATCATGTCTATTATCGTCGACATAATATAATAATTCGAAGATAAGGAGAAATTGTGACAACAATTTACAAAACTTGAACTTTCAGTTTTCAGTTATAAACGACGAACCGACATCTTAATATTAGTTGTTAAGATAAAAATGCAACAAGAAATAGTTTTCCACAATCGTTTTATTGGGAAAATAGATCATTTTATGCATAATATGTAGTCTTACAGTAATTGATCTAATGATATGATTTTTGTGGCTCTCACGGTCCGATTTTTAACAATGAAGATACTCATCTGACGTTTCGCTAGTCTTGCGTATAAAACTCCATTGGTTAATTGGTTTAAATTTATTACACATTGTCTGCGTTAGTTTAACATAAAAAAGTTTTCACGCATTACTTGTAACATTTAATTTTTATGTTTTTACAATGTAAAAATTGTGTTACTTTGACTCAATAACGTTTAGACGTAATTCGAATCAAATGTTACAACATTTAAATAGATATTTTTTAATTTATACTAATCAGTTTTGATTTTTTGTAATGTTATCTGTAATGATAAAACATTCTAAGTAATCAACATAACGATTATGTTACAGTTACAGATTATTTGCGTTAATTTTTTACGAGATATTTGTGCTATTATTTAACATAAGAGTTAATGTTACTGTAACATAAAGTAAAATCATCCGATCATTTAATAAGCTGTCAACAATGCTGGTGAAACGTCAGAGTATGTTATCTAGAAAACATGGCTATAATCTAATTTACTTTAATTTTAATACTGCGCCCGGGAGCACGTCCTGCCTTCTCATGGCTTTCGTTCGGTATGAAACACCATTTAATTTTCTAATCGTTATTATTTGACACTTTGTATGAAACAAATAATAGACTAAAAGTTTATCATTCGTTCATAATTCGACATTTTTTATGTAGAGGAGAATTTTGCCCATCTCCAAGCTTCGGTGATTTTTGTTTCTCGACAGCGACGCGTGAAAAAGGAAACGGAGCCATCATAAGGGGCACCTCACACCCCCCTCCCCCAACCGCCCCCTACCGCCCCCTACCGCCCCTACCCCGCCGCCGTGGACATGCCTGGATATAGCACAATGTCGGATCAGTATAACGTCCTGCTCAATAACGACTGACATAAACCAATTATGCTGATTAATTGTATATACATATTCTTATCGTGAATAACGAAGTACCGCGCTGAATGAATTCCCGAGTTTTAAACTGAGATTCGACTTTATCGAAATTTATGCGTCGTAATCGCAGATATAATTACATATAATCCGATCGTAACGTATCATTGTCGTCGAGAGCTCTCTGGCAGTGGGATTTTACGGAAAGAAAAAAAAAAAAAAAAGAAAGAAAAAAAGAAAAACAGAAAGCGACACAGTTATCGAACGCATTTTAACTGTAATCATCGTCACTGTTTAGGAGAATATTCAATGGAAGGGTAAACGAATCGCCGGACTGGTCGTATAAATAATACGATACATATTATAATCTGCGACAATGCGCATCACCGTTCATTCTTCGTAATTCGAACCAGGCAATCACGTTCATGTTTTATATTATTGAGGATTAGTTGGACCGCTCCGAGGTGCGCGTTTGAATTTAATCCGCGATGGGCAACATGGAAAATTTCGTAGCGATGCAACCTTGCGGAAGTTTTATTTATTATTTTATTCATTTAGTACGTTTGTTTATTCAGTGATACAAGTAGCGTCGTATTATTGAGATCTTTGGTACGATTGTCGACCTTTATGGGAAGCGTAGTGAATTTTTTATTTCAACCATTTACCTAGTTTCTCGTAACTACGCTGTTGATCAACTTACGAGTTTGTTAATTTTCGAACACGTTAGTTGGCCGAAATAATTACATTACGGTGTTTCGAAGTGTAAGTATTACACGATGTTTTCTGTTTTCCAATGCTACTTGGAATTTATTTTTTGTTCTTCGCTCTATATTTCATCAAATTCATATCATAACCAAACGTTATTATTAAATGTAATATTTATAAAAATTTCTCATGTTCTTATATATACTTATCCTGTTTATATCGATGCGATACTTGCTTCTAGAATGAGTTTTCTAAATTACTTCTTCATTTCATTAACGACAAATTATTTGTTTGTTTTGTAATTCGCTTTCTGTAACATTAATAAATAGTAACAAAGAAAATTTCGTTATTTCCAAGCTACTTTTAATTAATATTTTGACAACGATAAGTTTTTTCTTTTCATTTGAGAAAAACGTTTACTTATTGATAATAAATGATTACTCATAATTTATTCACTTATGATATTGTGAAACTACATTACACTCTTAGAAAAAGGCTATTTGGATTATTTAAAATTATTTACTATTTTCCTGTGAAATATTTGTTTTTGCTGTATGTCGCATGCGCGGGATACTTGTAACATTAATATTTAGAAATTTTTATACAATATTCGCAATGTATCAATATTCAAAGTTATTTACTTCACGACTTCTCAAACATAGATTTCTAATCACCGTCGTAATCCAATTTTGGGGGGAAAAATGGATCTTGGGGAACCAGATTGTTCTATAAAAGCACTTCGGAAGGCCATTTAAATTCTTTCAAAGAAACACACACGTTATTCTGAACAAAATAAATGTTTATTGCATGTTATTGGTATATCGTAAAGGGCCGTTCATTAATTACGTAAGGGTCTCGAGGAGGGGTGTGTGTGTGTGTGTGTGTGAGAGTAAAAGAATCTCGTGAAAAATTCTTTAATTTCATTAAAAAGAAACAAGATTGCACGATATTGTTTCATTCTTCTTTTGCATTATATATATGAAGTTTTCCACAAACATATCGTATTCAGATCATTTAATTCCTGTTTGATTTCGTAAAATTATGTGCTAACCATTTGTTCGGTTACGTACAAATTCTCGTATCCGAACATTTTTGTCTTCGTACCAGTCGACGGTTGCTCTACTGTATTTCTAGAGTGATTGTTTCGGAATAGTAAACGTTTCCGTAAGATTGCATCGAGTGGTGTTTCCGTTGTATTCGTTTTGTCAAAAATTGTGACAAAGAAATGCCTGGTGCGGTCTTAACCTTATCGTTGTCGTGTTACAAAATCTAGCCGAACCAAAAAAAAAAAAAAAAAAAAAAAAAAAATTAAAAAAAAATTAAAAAAACAAGGAAAAAAGAAGAAAAGACGAATTAACGAATCGAGAAATGACGTTTTTTTTTTCCGTTCGATTCGGGATTTTAGTAAAGCGAGCGATCCACCTTGCGAAACGTACGTATTATTTTTCACGATATTACGAGGACGAAAGAATGGCGATTTTGATGTATAGAATAAAAACATAGGACCGGGATGCACGCAATTTTTTAAGCGTAAAAAACACTGTGCTTGCCGTGGGCCAATAGTCGAAGGCAGAATAAGGGATAAAACAAAGAATACTATAACGACTGTAACTATAGTCGTTACGAAACGATAAAAAAAAAGTGTTTTCAAGATGAAAAATATTTAAACGCGTAAAATCAAAAATAATTTACCGGACAGCTATTGGCGACAACTTCACGCAGTACGTCGACCCCATGAATCGATCTCTTTACCGCGGCAAACAATCTAACGGAACAATCGATAAATCAAATTTTGAATAGCGAGTGTCGAACGCACTTCGGTTCGTTACAACCTGAGCTGGGTAAAAGTAAAATCGACGGAACAAGATGATTTCTAAAATCAAGTAAACGGCGTCGTTACGGTTTACACTTTCGTAACGTCGAATCTTTTTCTTTTCATTATTGGAACGTTCGAAATACACGAAATATCTTAAAAATATAATAATCTATGTAGCAATCGACGAGCATGTTTTACCCAGGTCTGGTTATAGCACCGTCGCCGGGGTCGTAGTATGTAGAAAATGTATCAGAGCACTGAAACAGAATGAAATTTAAAAACAGGAACGCTTGTGTTTTGCAATTCTCACATAAACCGGATAAAATGTTTTAACCCTTTGGCCACGGGACGATTTTTGTGGAAATTCTAAAAGGCGCGTCACTCGAACGGTCGAAGTTTTAAAAAATATCACCTTATAGAGAATGATAGGATGAAACATGTTTATATTTGCAGTTTATTCATACGACATTTAGTTTCAAAAATAAATATTAAAAACTTAAAAGTCCTTTTTCCTGAAATCCGATTACATTTACATCGATGAAAATGAGAAGCATCGTTATCGTTAAAGCGTCGAAAAAGCTAGTAAATTATAAATATAAAATGTTTTATCTTGTCATTCTCTACAAGGTGATACTTTTTAAAAATTCTTTTGACGAAGTTAAAAACTTCTCTGATTCTAATTTTCGAGGGCGGATATATGCGCCCCCTGCAGTCAAAGGGTTATTCGAGCGAAATTCTTGCGTAACGTGGTCCGGGGTCGAAAGTAATAATTTCATCATAGTCGTGATATTTCAGTCTTGCTGTAAATAAAATCGAAATTATTAATGAAAAGTCAAAGAGAAAGAAAATATTCCAATTGATCTCTATACTAGGTCAGATGTAATGGAGTTTTGAGTAAAAAAAAAAAATCAGAAGTATTTATTGGCTGACGTTCCTTGTAAATTACTATGAAAAAGAAACTTGATGACATTGAAAAGTTACTTTGCAAACTGCAATTATTGTTCTTTATTCTACACTCAACGCTGGCGTACGCGTCTATAACACATTTTCAAACATTCAGCTTGTTACTTTCGCCCTCTGTCACTTTTAACCCCGGTCTATACCACCTTTGCAGTAGGAACTACTAAAATCCTTTTTCTCCATAATATATCCAGTGTTAATTGGCAACCAATGCTCCACGTGAGCGATCCCCCTAAACTATGTAAAGATATATTTACAAAAGTAAATATGATACCTACAAAAATAATCAGACTCACGTAGATAGATCTTTTTCGAATTTATTTAAAACTGAGAATCGTTTATCGAACACTAGAGCAACCAGAAATTATCAAGGAATCATCGAATCGTTTACACGTGCAAAATAATAAAACATTACTTTATTTGGATTATTTTAAACTTGCTACAACTCATTATTTGTGTATAGGACATAGGATTGTTATCGAAAAAGTAAGATATTTTTCATTTCAAAACTAAACGTTTGAACATTTTATTTTTCATGCTTTATTGTGTTTGCTATGTAACGTAAGTACACAATGCTTCGCAACGTAATTTAAGGTATGTAATAAGTTCAAACAGGAGAGGAATATATTCATCAATGAAGCACAAATGTTGAATTTACAGAAAAAATAATAAATTGAAAACGATTAATTGATTTATATGTTCCTAATATAAAATTCACTGTCGGATATACAGTCGTCTCCGAAGGTAAGTTCATGCTATCTCTAAACAGTTTAAAAAGTAAACAGATGAATCATTTTAGCAGCGTCATTAACGAAATATTTTATACTTTTAATGTATCAGTGTATCTTTCAAGAACGGAAAGTAAGTTAATTATAAAAGATAAATTTATGTTCGCGAGCAGAAGGGAAAAAATCATAAGCATGGGGTATCCAGAGATATGTAAATATCATCTGTGTGTACGTTCGTTAACTAAACCTAATTTATTATAAAAGTTTTTATAATAAAAACTTAACTAATCTAGGGCATTCACATTTTACACACTTGTGCATTAAAATTAAAATTAAATTATACAATAAATTGTATATCTATAGAAATCTTATTTTACAAATATCACAATTACTATAAAAATTTCTGATCGTGGATCACTGTATAAATACAAAATTGATAACCAATAATGTCTACACTAAAATGGTCGTTTAAAAAATATGAAAATATTATAAAACGACCTCTAAAAACTCAGAGCCACAGAAAGCATTTTTATCTTGTAAACTCTTGATAAGTTCTTTAAAAGTACCAATTTGTTTCTTCCTTCTCCAACTTTTTTTCCTAGCACCTGCTATTTGTCTATTTTTATAAAGCATCAATTTAACAAAACGTCTCCATGCTTCATCTGAAACAAAGTCTTGTTTTGAGACATGAGAAGGTTGAACTCCATCCATAAAACAAAATTTTTTATTTGGTATATCACTTTCAGCTTCATTTATTGTTCGTTTTCTGAAAATATTTTTAAATATACAATTCTGAGTATAAAATAATTAATGCTAATATTAATAATTCAAAATATTAAGAAATATTTACCTTTTCGAACTCGTACTGTTCTTGTCATTTGAAGTCTTTTCAATATGTTCCAGTTGTGAAGTTGAGTCATTAAAAGAACTTTCTATTACAGGTTTTATATCACAATCTTCCAATGAATCACTTTCATTTACACTACTGTAAGTATTATCTTGAATACTTGAATCAGTAACAATATTATTTATATTTCTTGATGACTCTAATGAATTATTAAAGGAAAGATCATCCACCTCTTCCTTGTAAATCTTATTGCAAATCTCTCCTACTGTAGTCGTATTATTTGTATTTGTTGACAACTCCAATGAATTATTGAACGAAAATTCATCCACCTCTTCCTTACAAATCTTATCACAAGTCTCTTCTACTACAGATGGTATCACAATATTATTAGTAATATTTTTTATACAACATTTATTGAGAATAGGTACTGCAGTTGATAACAGCCTTTTGGTGACTGTATATCCATCAGTTTGATGATATGCATCATCTTCAAAGTGATCGCTACAAACAGTTGAGATTTTCTTAATATCCGTTACTCCAATAGCTTGCATCCACTTCTGTTTCAGTTCATTGTTTGCAGGAAATCTACAATTTATAAAAATATTGCAATTAATAAAGAATCTAAGGAATATATCAGTTATTTAAATAGTCATAATTAAAAATAAAGATTGGCAAAACTACCATAACCTAACATTATTATTTACATGATGCAACATAATATATAAATATTTAATTATTGTAATACATTGTACATATAATTCTTACTTGTGAAAACTACGAGTGTGATCACCAGGAATAGGTTGTTTTTTGCAAACTATACAAGTTTTCGTCATTTTATATTATTCGCATTTAGGTACATTTAGTTTACATTATCATAATCACTAAACTATCAAAACAAACCATCATGTTCTCTTTTGTTCACACAATCACAACATAATACACATGGTTGGTTGGTTTATTTTCTTTTATTTTGTTTGTTTTTTTATTCAACAGTGCATGTTGCAAGGATGCCCTGCTCTTTCTGTATGATTGATTTTGGGTATTGGCTCCAAGAACGACAAGGCAGTTCCCTATGAAAGTCACCAACGCGCTCTTGTCAGTGGTTATCTACCGTTACAAATAGGAAAGTTATCCGATGGCTGAAATACTCTTCAGATAAAACAGGTATCTTTATTCGTAAAATAAAATTTGTTCGAATAAATGTTATTCTCCGTTATACTTCTTGATTTTCTCATCTTATTTCCCATTATAAATAAATTTATGGTAATATCATGTCTTAAATAATATACAGTGGTTTCAGAATTCATTATTAGAAGGATAAACTATTTGAATTCTATTCATATAAATACAATTTAAAAATAATTTGTAATTTGAAATGTTAGTAAATAGTAATTTATAAGTGATATGTGATAAATTATCACTGATAATAATTTAAATTGATCTTTATTATTTTTACTAACTCAAAACTGCTATTCACTTAACTTTCTGGAGATAGAATTTTGCCTTTTCATACATTTTTAATATAATTATAGATTAAAAATATTGTAAGGAGGATAATTTATCAAGGTAATAAATTGATTACTTTTATGCTTGAACGATACGTTATCGACCGAGAGGTTGAGTTATACATAGAGTTGGGAGGACTGCCACCGATGACGCCACTACATTCAACTATAAAGCTATTACCTATTTTGAATTCATTGCCGGATTCCCGTAGAAGTTAAATAAATAAATTAAAATAAATCCATTAAGGGGAGGATAAATGTTTTCGGTGTTCAACCCCAGAGAATCATTCGATTTCTTTAAAATATTTAACCCTCCTCCCTTACGGTGGGTCGGATTCGACCTTGCCACAAAAAACGCATTTATCACGTACAAGTAGGTGTATTACTCACTAAAAAAGCTTCTTTTTTAAAACCAAATTAATTTTTATTTATAACCTTCGGGTGATTTCAGTCTTGCCGTGTTATCACCCTTAAAGTTTCTTACAAAATTAAGCAATTCAGCTCACAATTGCCACGTTTCTCTACTATCACCCCAAACTATAACAGTCTCTGTAGTAGGGACTTATCAAAACTACATATCAACAACGTAGAGTTTTGTCACATCTTCTCAAAGCATGATCAAACAAGAACAGATCCTCAATAGAACACACCTACTCCGATCAGAAGACTTTTTCTTTTCTCTCTCTCTCGGTACGCTAAATCGCCGGATTTACGCGTCTTGGCCCCCTCCCATTCCCCCGTCCTGCTCTTGGTGGCGTAAACTACATTATACGATATTCGAGAAAATCGAGAGCACATCCTGTCGAAGGAACGCGCCGGTCTGAGCCCTAGGGCCAACAATGGGGGCCAGATTTTGCGCCATTCTGTCGCTGGGGGATAGCATTACCGGCCGATACGATCACGCGCTTTCAGCAGCTTTCAGATCCTATCTTCGGATATCTTTTTCCCTCTCGGTGAGCGCGGAACCCAGCCCGGAACTACCGAATTTCGCAACGGGCCTCGGAATCGAGAGTAATTACAAGGATTTACCCTCCTGGTGTTTCGTTTTCTCTTCTTTATTTGAGCCCCCATTCAAAATTTCTTCCAACGCGAGTGTCCGTACTTCTTTCTGTGTTTGTTTCCCTCGAGAACGGATGGTAATTGCAGCGTGTACGTTTAGGGGGTTGCGAATTATGAAAACTGAAAAGGGTTCGGCGTGTAGCTCGGAGTTTAAAGGGGTATTGTAGTCTAGAACTTTGAAAATATCGAGTCTCTTTTTCATAGCACTTTTACAAAGTGTAGATCTTTGAAAATGTTAGGGTTTATAGCGGTGTAAGGTTTAATTTCTTGAGATAGTCAAATACTCAGGTTGTAGTTTTCATATAACGGGTATTCAAAAAGGTTCGTGGCGTTTTGTCGCTAGATGGATTTAACGTAGCATATATTTTTGTTTACACGTAACCTATTGGAACATACTAGATGCCATTTATAAGGTTACAGTTTATATTATGGATAGAAAAAAACAGGTATCAAATTTGTTTATTGGCTTAACAGTAATAACGTCTTGAACGTGGAGATAAGTAATACGAAAATTCGCTACATTTTACAATATCACTTCGATCAAGGCGAGAATGCTACGCAGGCTTGTGAACAAATTTGTGGTGTTTACGGACAAAATGCTCTATCAAAATGTTGATATCAAAGATGCATCACGCTTTCGTCGACCAATCACAGAACGATGCGATGAAATCATGCAAATGGTTGAGAAACGCCACGAACTTTTTCGAATACCCAATATATGTTTAAACTCTGCTTCCCAGTAAACAAGTTGTTATACGAAAGAACACTGGTGGCCATGATATCTGTTAAAAACACGTGACAGTTATTAGCGTGGAAGATCAGTGGCACAAAGAACCCATAGGATGCGAATCAACATAAAGAAGGCAGCACTAAACGAAGGGAGATCATGGATCGATGAGCCAGACGTATAAATCCTTGGTCGTACTATGGCTATGTTATTCACTGTGGTCTATTGTGTGCTAGGATTGTTAAATTTCGGCAGGAAGCTGGTTTAAATACGGCTCTGCTTCTGTATTTACCGCCGCGGAAACGACATTATTGGCGATACGATCGCGTGTGCTTTTAGCAGCTTTCAGATTTTATCGACGTTGCGCATGAATAGTCGATTTTTTTTCGGCTCGCGTAACCAGCGAGCAACTGATTCGCAACCAGAGCGAAATGCCGGAGAGCACACCGATCGGTCAGCCTTTCTGTGTTTCCTCTGTTTCGCATCGTTTCTATATCGACGCAACGGCTATCGTTGGACCGTTCCGATCTTCCCGAAGGACGCGCAAAATAGACTACCGTCAAAAGAGAGATTTTCCGCGGTCTGGGGAAAAATTTCCAATTTTTACACCAGATTCCTACGCTCCAGTGATCAATGAAACGGATTGATCCACGAATTCGCGAAATTTTGAATTTCGTCGAAATATCACGGGCAGAAACTTGTACTGGTTTTTATTACAACCGTAGAGTTTTGGAATTTTTGTGAGGTTTTCTCTTGGTCTATGAAACTATTAACGACTTTTGGTTGACTATTGCGTTTCAAGTTTTAATTTTAAAAGGTGCCTTCCCCTCACCCCTTAATATTAAAAAAAAAAGCTCTTTTAAAATTTAGACTCCCCCTCAAAATATTTGCATGCAAAACAACGATTTTTAATTGTTATCGCGAGAGTTACTTATGGTAATAGCCTTTAATAAATGTTATTCGCATGATATTTCATATGGTTCTGCCAATCGAAACAAGGAGACACATGGCACTGAATAGGACTCGCCAACAGTCTGTGCACACGCACATGATTCACGCGCACATTACGTTATCTTTTCTTATTGGATTTAGCGACATACTTAAAATTGTGTCGCCTCACGCGAATGCTGCGAAAAGACGATAGACTTACACCCCGAAGAAGAACTTGGGGAAGCAAAATTTTGATATTATTGCCATATACGAAGTATTTAATAGAAAAGTGGAAAGGTGCTAAGAAGTTACTATAAACAATAAAAAAAAACGTGAAAATTCACGTAAAGCATCTATGTCTGAGTCTCGAAATAAAACTCAGTATATTATTTATAGTGAAATTTTTGACGAGGATTGGATTCAGCGCTATATTTCTAAAGGTTAGGCCTTTGAGGCTTGCGTGAATGTAAATGGCTCATATCGGTATCACAATTATCACAATTGCATCACAAAATAACGATGTGAGTCTTAGATTTGATGGTGGCCGGGGTTACTCGTCATTTTTTCAGAGATGTTAAAAATAAGGCTCCTTTTAAAGTAGTTTTATATTAATTTTACGAATGTTTTTGATTGTATATTAGGAAAACGAATGCCCTGTAATGTAGAAGACCACCTGATATTGTCGACACATTCCCTCGTTCACTTTTTCAATTATTTACATTTTTGAAAGTACTCTTTAACGTTACAGCGAAACCTTAACAAAACACCAAGGAACGCAATTTCCGTCGCGGTTTCACCGGAATGCGTCGATTATCACTCAACCGGTAGGGTCGCCTGACAAGACATCACGACATCAGCGTTCATTATGCGCTTTTTGCCGCGGCTCCTTTCAACCGCGAGTTTTTCCATTACTTTTTCCGCGAGTTTTTCCATCGCGTCGCGCGCGTGTCGCCGCTAGGCCCCAAAATTTGGAACCCATCCCTGGCACAGGACCCGTTGACGAGGAACCGAAAAAAAAAAAATTTCCTTTCCGCAGGGACTTTACGATCCTAATAAAACAGCCGCAGAGACGGTCAGCGCTCCAAACGAAGGAAGGCGCAAGGCGGAAGGAAAAAACGGGCCGCACTGCGCCTTTTTAACCCGAGAGAATCTCATAAAAATTAAAAGCGTCGTTGGTGCACCGAGTCCCATTGTCCTGCGGCCGCTTCGTTCCCCTTCCAACTTCTAACGCTTTCTTCTTTGCTGCCTCGATCGTTTTCCTTTTATTTTTTTTTTGCGCGTGCCCAACTTCGCAAAAAATTTCCTAAACTCCAAAGAATCGCGAGCGCGCACGGTTACAGGGGCAAAGGAAAAAAATACAACCAATGAAGGAATAACACGAGCTTACGCGCAGAAAAAAAAAATTTTACAGGAAAGGAACAGCAAGGAGAGCAAACAGCGTGAAAAAAATGCAGAAAAGATCGAGTTGTCTTTTTTGTTCATCCCCACCCCACCCCCCGCCGCCCCCCGCCCCCCTCGCGCCGACCGTAAAAACGAAGCAATCGGTGTAACTTCGTAAATCGTCGTTCGGCCGTATATCACCCCGTTTGAAAAATAATATCCGCGCTTTCAACCTGCCCCTCTCGCCCCGCCCCGTCCCGCCCGGTCGCCCGTCGCTTCGTTTTTTTCTTCGTGCTTTTTTCACCCCCGTATGCACGCCAACAGGATACGTCGATTTCCTTTTTCTTCCAAAGCGCCGGCCACGGCCGCCCCTTGGTTTCGCGCGCGACACTTGAAATTCTAATTC